TGTTGCAATTGTGCCTTTGCTAGTTGGTTCATTGTAGTTATCAATTAAGCTATATCCTGCCCATGATCATGTAATTCCTTATGCAAATAAATAAACGTGGGGTCACCCTGGGGCACATTGGCTCTACTTTGCCAAGCGGAAGAAGTGTCAGCCATCTCATCAAGAATGTCACAAACCTCATCATAAGGTAGCTTCATGAAGTTTCCCCCAGCAAGTTGGTTCACTATGCATTGGTTTGTGGTGTTAATACCCCGGTTGAAAGTCTGTTGTATCATCGCCTCGGTCATATCATTGTTGGGGAATTCCTTCACAATTGTTCTATAACGCTTCCAAATCTCATGTAAAGGTTCCGTGGGCACTTGCTTGAACGCCAAGATCTCATCTCTCAATGTAGCCATATGCCCCAGTGAGAAAAATTTTGCAATGAACTTGTCCGTCAACTCATCCCAAGTAGTGGTAGAATGGTTGGGAAGTCGCTCAAGCCAATCCAATGCCTTCCCTCTAAGTGAAAATGGGTAGAGTCTTAACCGAAGAGCATCCTAGGACACATTAGTTTGCTTGCTCCTCCAACATGTATCCACGAACCCCCTGAGATATTTGTAAGCATTTTGATTTGTAGCGCCCGTGAAATACCCACATTTCTCTATTAAAGTCAACATCACATTGGTTATTTGAAAATTGCCCGCCCAGATTCGGGGTGGGACAATAGAACTTGCTAGCCTTGGTTCGGAAGCACTCTAAGAGCCACTCTTGGAGGTGGCGGAGGAGGGTCTGGTATATTGTCATTAACATTAGCATTAGCCTAGCAGCCTCAACGTTGTCCTTGAGGTACAAGAGGCACCTCATCATCTCTGACATCATCTACCTCCTCCCCCGCAATCACATTTCCAAGAGGGTTATTGGCGTTGTTCACTGCCATTTGGTACCTGAGTTGTGACACAAACAAATTAGTAACAAAAAGGAAAGAAGAACAATACACAAAACTATTTAGATAGATAGCCACAACCGTTAGCTCCCCGGCAACGATGCCAAAAAGTGATCGAGGCCAACCCTGCACTACTATTGAGTAGCGAGAGAAGGTCGAAGCAGCTTTTACCCAATTAAGGTCGGGATCGATTTCCACAGGGAGCTAGAAGTTGGAGTCGGGTGCCTATCTAAAGTGGAGTTGTGTATGTGTTCCAAATTACACTTCTAAACATTTTTGGGTTTTTGTTTTACTTCTAATTTTATCAAACTACAATGCTAAATTAAACTAAAATAAGCCAAGAGTAAACTATTATGAGTTGTTCAAATGATTAAAAGGCACAAGGGTAGTGACTTTCGCCTAGGTGGTCAATTGACGGATACTTGAGTCTAAGGCATAATTAACATATTTGGGGAGTATGATATAATCGTTGCACAATTTTACTCACTCTACACCTCTCGGTGGTTCGAGTAATTTTGCACGAATTGATTTTCTCAAGACTAATTGGGTATGCAAATTTGCACAAGCAATTAAGGTTCAAGTTGGGTATTACTATTTCTAGGTTTAACCCTTTAATTGGGGCTATCAATCTCTTGAGTATGCCCTAATTCCTTGTTGGACCAATTTCAGAGACTTAGGTTCTCTTTCTCAAGAATAACCAAAGTCAACTAAATACAAACTAGTGTTTGCAACCACCAATTCAGCAATTAAATACGAAATTAGCCCAAATATCAAACACTCATAGTTAATATAGCCCTAAAACACAAGACCCATCAATTACCCACACTAGGGTTGAGCCACAACCTTAGCTTATGGGTCTAGCTACTCATAATTAGAGAAGAAAACAAAGAAATAGATGAAGAAAAACTCATATTAATTAATTGCTAAGAAAAACTGGAAGATTCAATGTTGAAATGAAGCTAAAATTACTCAAAATAGCTAAAATATTCGAAGTCACGAGCGCAGCCCAGTACCAAAACTATCTGATGACCTAAAAATGGGAAAAGAAACTATTTATACTAAGCTAAAAAATCTGGACAAAAATACCCCTGCGGGGCTAGTGCGGACCGCACAAAATCACGTGCTGCCGCACTAGGGCTTGGAACTTGAAAATTCAACTCTCTGAGCTCGGGCAATGCGGACCAAACAAAATCGAGTGAGGTCATGGTGGCTTCTAGTGCGGTCCGCATGAAATGGAGCGTGGACCGAATTGGGCTTCAAACTCCAACCTAGCACTTCTGTGATCCTTGGTTCTACGGACCACACTAAATCGAGTGCGGCTGCAGTGACTCCAATGCGGACCGCATTAAATCTCATGCGGCTGCATTGCCTGTTGGCCTGGAAGTCCACCTCTCTGAACCTCACTTGTGCGGACCGCACAGAATGGTGTGCGACCGCATTGACCATATTTTGCCTCAGCTTGTCTTGTCTTGGTACTTGTGCAAGTTTCACTCCTTTTTGAGTCGATCTTTGACATCTTGTCACTTTGTTGATCAAACCTGCAATCAAGCACAACGTGTGAGCCTTTTGGGACTATTTTGTACAAATTTATAATCAAAACATAATCAAGAAGGAGTATAAAATGTATCAAAATCCCTAGTTATCAATCCTTGAGGCACAATAGGGACCTCATCTTCAACATTGTCATCTACTTCCTCCCCCGGCGTAAGATCTCCAAGGTGCGTTGTTTAAGTTTGCTGCCATTTTGTACCTGAAGTTGTGACACACACAAATTAGTAATACGGAAGGAAAGAAGAGCAATACACAAAACTATTTAGATAGATAGCCAGAATCGTTAGCTCCTCGGCAACGGTGCCAAAAAGTGATCGAGGCCAACCCTGTACTACTATGAAGTAGCAAGAGAGGTCGAAGCAGCTTTTACCCGAGAATATTGGGATCGATTTCCACAGGGAGCTAGATATTGGAGTTGAATTTCTATCTAAATGAGAGTTGTGTAATTGAACCTAATTGCACTTCTAAATATTATTTGTTTTCATTTTACTTCTAATTTTATATTACTACGATGCTAAATCAAGCTAAGTAAAGCTAAGATTAAACTATTGAGAGTTGATCAAATAGATAAAAGGCACTAGGGTAGTGACTTTCTCCTAGGTGGTTAATTGACGGATTCTTAAGTCTAAGGCTAGATTGTCACATTTGGGGAATATGATATAACCATTGCACGATTTTACTCACTCTATACCTCTTGGTAGTTCGAGTGATTTTGCCCGAATTGACTTTCTCAAGACCAATTGGGTATGCAAATTTGTGCAAGCAATTGAGGTTCAAGTCGGGTATTACTATCTCTAGGTTTAACCCTTTAATTGGGGCTATCAATCTCTTGAATACGCCCCAATTCCTTGTTGGACCAATTTCATGGACTTAGGCTCTCTTTCTCAAGAAGAGCCAAAGTCTACTAGGCATAAACTAGTATTTGCAACCACTAAGTCAACATTAATCTTTGCGGACTGCACAAAATGGTGTGCGGACGCATTGGTCCTGTTTAATTGAGCTTGGTCTTGGTCTTGGTCTTGGTACTTGTGCAAGTTTTACTCCTTTTTAAGCTGGTTTTTGACACCTTATCACCCTGTTGATCAAACCTGCAATCAAATACAACTTGTGAGCCTTTGGGATTATTTTGTACACATTTCTAATCAAAATTCAAGCAAGAAGGAGTGTAAAATGCATCATAATCCCTAGTTATCACTGGCTGTTTTTTTGCACTAAAAAATAACATGTTTTTCTTCCTTGAATTTCGCCTACCCGAAGTTCTCTATTTCCGGTTTTTATTTGGGTAACACAGTAGAAGTCTATGGAAGGTTGTTGAGGTCTTGTAATTCTGGAATTGGAGAAGGATATCGATTTGCTTTGTTCACGCTTCAAGAGGTAACTCGTATAATCTCCGTATGTGCTAATTGTTTAATTTATACGTGAATATGATATTGTGATTGCTTCCGCTATGATATATAATTCAACAATTGGTATCAGAGCCTACTCACGTCTAATTAAATGATTAGGATGACAATAAAATTACTGTCATGATAATATGCAAGTTTTGAATTACCTGCAAAGATTGGTTTTGAATTCTGTAAAACTGCATTGTTCTTAACATGAATATTTGTTCTGAGTATTATGATTTTCTGAAAATTATGTAATATCACCTCAAAGTTTATGATATTTGATTAGAATAATCTGAAAATTACATTGTTCCATGAAAAACGCAAAAGTCACTATTTGGCCGAATTAGGTCAGAAAATCGGAGGTCAACATGTTGATGGACTCCGATTGACCTGAAACTTGGCAGGTCCATGAGAAACAACCCAGTGAGAAATACACATGAGCTTTGTCATGTTATAAGTCGTTTTTTGGGCTTTCGGGGCCGTTTAGATGGTGTTTTGGACATTTTATTGATTTTCTGAAAAAATTTCAAAAACTTTTTTGAGTTGTTTTTAATCCAGTGGTGGTAGGGATCGTTTACTATGGACTACAAGGTTAAAATACTAGTGATAAAATGTTTTTACACGTTGACGTAGGTCTTCTTCCATATCAGATAAACTCATTATGGATAATCACTAGGTTATACTAGTTGTTGATTACTTGTATTCACTCTCCATCTGAGTATGCATGTTGGTTCAATGGAGCTAGTATATTTATTGAATGTTGATATTCACTTGACTTAAATTAACAGTTTACTCTCCATCTGAGTATGGCCTATCTAAATTCATGGAGTGAATAATCTGTCATTATATATGTATATTGCAAGAATAACCTTTTTCCCATTGAAATTTGTTGTTCAAGGTGCATAGATTATATATATGTAGTGTGTTTTGAGTTTTAGCATTCAAATAAACATGACTGATTTTGATCTATTTAATGAAATTGTCTCCTAGATTAACAATGACTGCTTTCAATCCCCTTACTGCTATTCTTACTCAAAACAAACTTGAGGGTCCGAATTATGTTGATTGAAAATGAAACTTAGACACTGTCCTAATTGATGAAGAGTACAAATTTGTACTCGATGGGGTGTGTCCAGAAAACCCTGGAGATGATGCTATGGATGATGAACAAAAGGTTTACCAGAAATGGGTCAAGGCTGATGAGATGGCGCGGTGTAACATTCTGGCATCTATGTCAAATGTTCTGCAATATCAGCATCAGTCAATGGAGTCTGCTTATGACATTCTGGAAAATCTCAAAGAAATGTTTGGAGATCAGAATCGTGGGGCTAAGCAGACTGCCATGAAAGCTCTTCTAAATACCAAAATGGTTGAAGTTCATCGGTTAGGGATCATGTTCTGAAGATGATGAGTCTTCTGAATGAACTGAAGGTCCTTGGAGCTAACATTGATAAGGATACGCAGGTTGAAATGATCATGCAGACTCTGTCTGCTAGTTTTCAGCAGTTTCGCATAAATTATAACATGAACAAAATGGATTTGTCACTTGCAAAATTGCTGAATGAGTTGCAGTCAGTAGAGACTATTATCAAGCAACAAGCTCCTCCTGTGGCATTGAATTTTGAGGCAGGTTCTGCTTCTAAGTTGAGTGGAGGTCAGAAGAAGAAAAAGACTCAAAAATCCTCTGTTGGTGGCGCAACTGCTGGTGTGAAAAAGGCTAAGGGCAAGTGCTATCACTGCAAGTAGCCTGGGCATCATAAAAAGCAGTGACCGACTTATTTGACCAAACTAAAAAATAAACCGGGGGTTTTAGGTAACGCGGCGGCTAAGTAGAGGAAAAATCAATGTTTATCAAGCAGATGGTTCATCAGCCCCAGCTTTAGCAATAGAAAACATTAGTATTTCGTTTGGTAGTGGTAGAGTTTTAGCTTTAAAAGACACATTATATGTACCTTCCATTAGAAGGAATTTAAATTCGGTTTCTAGCTCTATAAGAGATGGTTATGACATTAATTTTTATGATATTGATAAATGTGTTATTACTCATGATAAATGTTATCTCTCTTCGGCTACATTGATTAATGGTCTTTTGTTGTTGACTTTATTCCTAAACCGTTACAACCTAAAGAACTAGATTATGTTGATTTACCAAGTAAGAGAAAACGTTCTTCTGAATTGAGTGAAACATATTTATGGCACTTGCATTTGAGTCATATAAATCTAAACAGAATTTCAAGGTTGGTCAAGGATGGACCTTTAAGTTCATTGACATTGGAGGCACTACCAACTTGTGAATCTTGAAAAATGACAAAATGAAATTTCCCCTCAAAAGGAAATCGAGCAAGCGATAAATTAGAGTTAATTCATTCTGATTTGTGTGGTCCAATGAATGTCCAAGGAAGAGGTGGTTTTGAGTATTTTATGACTTTCACAGATGATTACTCAAAATATGGATATATTTATTTGTTGCGTCGAAAGTCTGAATGTTTTGAAAAGTTCAAAGAATTTAAGACTGAGACTGAAAAGTGACATAATAAATATATCAAGACACTACGATCTGATCATGGTGGGGAGTACCTCTGCGGATTTTCATTGGTTATTTATCAGAATATGGAATTACATATCAATTATCTGCACCTGGAACTCCACAACAAAATAGTGTAGCTGAAAGAAGAAATAGGACTCTTATGGAAATGGTTAGATCAATGATGAGTTATTCCGATTTGCCTTCGTTTTTTTGGGGACATGCCTTAGAAACAATGAATTACGTTCTAAACTTAGTTCCTTCAAAGTCAGTACCTTTGACACCTACAGAATTATGGACTGGGCGCAAGCCTAGTCTGCGGCATATTCGAGTTTAGGGTTGTCTGACACATGTGCTAAAAGGGAAAACGGATAAATTGGAGGCAAGAATGGATGTATGCGTGTTTGTAGGTTATCCAAAAGGGACGAAAGGTGGTTTATTCTATTGTCCTAAAGAGAAAAGGGTAGTAATTGCTAGCACAAATGCCAAGTTTCTTGAAGAGGATTATTTGATGAATCGTGTTCCTAGAAGTAAACTAGTCTTACCGGAACTTAGCAAAGGAATGGAAACTCAGTCATCTGAAAACAAAACGACAAGATCCAAACCCCAGAAGTTGATTTTGACATACCATTGCATTTTTGTAGTGGGAGAAATATCAATAGACTTAATGTCCCACAAGAACAAGTGCCCGAATTCATACTACCACAAAGTAGTGGGAGTCATGTGGAGTAGACTGCACAACAGGAAGAAGTAGTTGATATCAATGTGGATAGCATGGAGACTCAGGTTCCTGATGATGATGTGGTTCAACCACAAAATCAAAATGATGTAGTTGCAACTGATGTAGTGCGTAGTCATAGTGGGAGAGAAATTAGACAGCCAGTTTGTTATACGCTCTTGGGAGAATCATATGATAGGATCTCTGAGGAGCCTATCTCCGAACCTGTCAATTACAACCAAGCACTATATTATAAGGATGCTGATAAGTGGGTTGCTGCTATGAAATCAGATGTGGAGTCTATGTACTCTAATCAAGTCTGGGATTTTGTAGAACCAGCTGATGAGGTTAAACCCATTGGATGCAAGTCCATCTATAAGAAAAAGAGAGGTGTAGACGGAAAAGTACAAACTTTTAAGGTAATGCTTGTAGCGAAAGGGTTTACTCAGAAAGAAGGGATTGATTATGAGGAAACTTTCTCGATGGTAGCCATGCTTAAGTCTATAAGGATTCTCTTATCCATTGCTGCTCATTATGATGATGAGATTTGGCAAATGGATGTCAAGATAGTTTTCCTTAATGGAAGTCTTGATTAGTGTATCTATATGATGCAACCAGACGGTTTCATGGAAAGTGGCAAGGAACACATGTTGTGTAAGATTAAAAGGTCCATTTACGGACTAAAACAGGCATCTAGGGCATGGAACACTTGTTTTGACAAGGAGATCAAAACTTTTGGTTTTGATCAGTGTCTTAACGAGTCTTGTGTATACAAAAAATGGGATGGGGACAAAGTGGCATTTTTAATCTTGTATGTAGATGACATATTGCTCATAGGAAATAATGTGGGCATGGTGGATTCAGTTAAACAATGGTTGTCCATGCACTTCGATGTGAAAGATTTGGGAGAAGCGGCTCATATCCTTGGGATCAAGCTCTTGCGAGTTAGGCTTATCCCAGGCTCTTTATATTAAAACAATACTCTCCAAGTTTAGCATGCATGATTCCAAGAAAGGATTTCTCCCTTTCAGGCATGGAGTTTCTCTATCTAAAGATCAGTCTCTAAAACTGATGAAGAGATAGAAAAGATGAAGGTGGTCCCCTATGCATCTACTGTAGGGAGTCTGATGTATGCTATGCTATATACTAGACCTGATATCTGTTTTGACATTGGCGTTGTTAGCAGATTTCAGTCTAATCCTGGAAGAAAGCATTGGACAATGATTGAGCATATAATCAAGTACCTGAAAAGGACTAGGGATTACATGCTAGTCTACCATTCAGATGAATTTGTGCCTATTGGGTACACTGATTCAGATTTCCAATCAGATAAAGATTTTAGAAAGTCTACCTCAGGAAATGTGTTTACTCTGGGAGGTGGAGCCATAAGTTGGAGGAGCATCAAGCAAACTTGTGTTGCTGATTCCACCATGGAAGCCAAATATGTGGCTGCCTCTAAGGCAGCCAAAGAGGCGGTTTTGCTCGGGAACTTCCTAAGAGAGTTGAATGTGGTTTCCTCGATTCAAGCACCAATAACACTTTATTGTGATAATAGTGGTGCGGTTGCGAATTCAAAGGAGTCGCAAAGCCATAAAAGAATAAAGCACATTGAGCGTAAATATCATTTAATTCATGAGATAGTACAAAGAGGGGATGTAGTAGTCACCAAGATTGTGTCGGAGAACAACTTGGCGGACCCATTTACTAAGAGCTTACCACAGAAGACTTTTGATAGGCATGTAGACGGAATGGGTGTCAGAATTGTAGACGCATGGTTATGAGTCTAAGTGGGAGATTGTTAGGATATACTATAAACCATGCGTATTGTTATAGTATTCTTTATGGAACAATTGTTTATTTATTTATTCAATAAAGTTTTATTAGATAGATCATGTATTTGTTTGTGTGTCTGTTGCTTATATAGTAGATGATTTAGTGTATAGAGTTTAGCTCATACACAGAAGATTAAATCATCTGTAACGACCCGACTGGTCATTTTATTTTTTTAGAACCTCGTCCCCCTAAATAAAACTTCCCGCGCTTGTTTTAACTAATTTACGACCTGCGGAGATGGTTGGTTCGGGATTTAGAAGAGTTTGGGTTGAAATATGCTCATTTGATTCCTTAAGATTTTCTTAAAAGGCTAAGTTTGACTTTGGTCAATATTTTTAGCAAACGGACCCGGATTTGTGTTTTGATGGTCCCGGAGGGTCCGTAGAAAAATATATGACCTGGGCGTATGCCCGGAATCGAATTCCGAGGTCCCTAGCCCGAGTAATGAATTTTTATTAAAAATTGTTAAACTGAAATTCTAAAGATTTAAAGAAACTAAATAATGATTGATCATGTTGGTATCGGGCTCGTATGTTGGTTTCAGAGCCTAGTACAGGTCCAATACAACATTTAAGACTTGCCCGCAAAATTTGGTATCAATTCGAGTAGTATAAGTACGTTTCGGCACGTTGGAAGTGAATTGAATAATTTGAAGTTCATAAGTTTGATCCAATTGGTTTTAGGGGGTGAATCTCAGATTTAGCGTTGTTTCGGGCATTCCAAAGGTTCGAGCAGGTCCGTTTCATGATTTCAAACTTGTCAGTATGTTCGGGTGGGGCCCGGGATCCCCGAGCGTCAATCGGACGAGGCTCAAGTGAAGTTGAAAATTTTGGGAAGGAGCTGAAGCTCCAGTTATCTGTCATAACTACACCTGCGGTTGGTCAGCCACAGGTGCAAGACCGCAGAAGTGGTCAACCCCTCGCAGATGCAGCCAAGCCAGGCCAGGCCCAAAGCCGCAGAAGCGGAGCCGCAAATACAACTTGCCTCTGGCAGATGCGGCCCAGCGGCCCAGTTGAGATTCCGTAGAAGCGGGCTCCTTTCCGCAGATATGGTGGGCGCAGGTGCGGCCCAGGACCGCAGATGCGGAAATCACTAAAGCAGTGAGCTTCATTTAATATGGGCTCCAGCCATTTTTGCCCATTTTGCACTCGTGTATTGGGCGATTTTGGAGCTCTTGAGAGAAGATTTTCACATAGCACCTTGAGGTAAGTTCATCCCCCTTATTTCTAAGTTTAATACTCGAGTTTTGGGTAGACTAACACATAAAGATTAGGAAAAATCAAGGGGTTAGAGCAAAACGTAGGGTTTTGATAAAACTTAGATTTTACCACGGAATTGGTTATAAAGTGAGGTAGAAATCATATATTATTGATCCTTAGGTTATAAAGAACAACTTTCTTCAAAAAATTTCGGAATCCGGGCACGTGGGCCCGGGGGTCGGATTTTAGGAAACTTGTGTTTAAGGTTGGAAAATTGCTTTAATAGTTAGAATGCGATCTTGTGAGCTTGTATTGACTAGTTCATGACTAGTTCCTACCCCGTTTCACTAGTTTTGGATGGTTCGGCTCCAAATTGAGAGTTCGGGCTCGTTCTTTGTATTGGAAGTACGCTTTGGAGTAAGGTAACTCTCTTTTCTAACCTTGCAAAAGGGAATTGTCCCTATAAATGTAA